GCTGCTAATTTTAAGTTGGAGTTCCTCATTTTTTTGCTCCATAACTGTCATAATCGTTTTGGAATCCCGAGCTCTCCCTGTGCAAAGGGCTTCCCCCACACGCACATTTGTGCCCATAGTTCTGATTCTTGAGCTTTTTATTTCCATTTCATTTGTTTCAGTTATCGTCCACCCAGCATATATAGCAACTCATCTGCCTCGGCGAGATCTTTGTGAGTTACTCCTTTCGCTATGATCTCTTGAATAGTTTTTGTCCAAAACTAGTTAAACATAGGTGGAGACCATATGAGTTCTTTAGAATGCTCAAACGACTTTGTGAATCACGTGGAGAATCATGGGACGAGTCGGGTCCGTCCATTTCCGAACATTGCTCACTTTCTACTGAGCCATCAGTACATATCAGACAGGTTGGTGGGAGGACGAAAAGTTTCAGATAATTCTAGGTGATTTTTTAATTTATGCGTTGTGTGCAGGAGTACTGGGATAATTATAAGTCACCTACGGCGTCACTTTCATCGTTCGACTATGAGGTGCCAATACCAAGCCCGGATTACCAAAAAATAGGTCGGTTTCTGAGGATTTGGGCTTCTGAGAAGCGCCAGAGTTGATATTGTCGCAATCAGCCCGGGGCGGTGCCAAGAGGGATGGGGTCTGCGTCTTTTTCGCCATTGGTTGTTTTCCTCCTGAATCGATCACCAACCGATCGCTACTGGACTTTCTACCAGCCCGAGTCGGGCTCATCCCACCCACCAGACACACCCCGACTGATTGCGACGATATCAGCTGTATGGTACATGAAGTAGGAATTACAATAGACGATTCCTGAACTCAATATGGCACTGCTGTTGACATCCAAATCTCATCTTTTTCAGCTCTTTCCGCTCGTCGTTCACGGCGATTACGTTCGTGCCCGTCGGGGATTACGGTGCCGCCGTCGCAATCTGTAAGCAATCGCAGTGTTCCGGTGTCGGCTCGCTGGCAGCCACGTTACTGCACGCCAACCTCCGATCCGCTTCTGTTGTCTGCTCCGCTGTCGTTTCGTATCTCAGAGCCGTTCATGCTCTCGAAACTCGCCGTTCAATGCGATTCGCCGCCGCCACCGCATCCGGCTGCGATCGACTTCGAACCAGCACCGGTGGCGGCGTCGTTCGTGCCGAACAGCGAAGTACCAGAGTTGGAGCTGTTCTATCCCCAGTATTGCCTGCCGAATGCTTCTGTGCACGAGATGCCCACTACTATACCTCGACTTCAGCTCAATCAATCTCCACCGTCAACGTCGCGGCTTTCGTCGCGATTTCATTCGACGCTCTTTACGATCTCAGAGCGTCGCCCGTCGCATGTAGTAGCTCAGGGAGAAAGTCCCAAACCATTATTGCAGCGCAAAAAGAAGGAACGAGAGGAAAAGATCAACGATCCGCTACATAACGTTGATTGGCTCAATATTAGCCCTCGACTGATGCAGCTCGTCAAGAACGATCTACCGAAGCTCTTCGAGCATGTACGGAGCGACGACTCGTCTCCGGCTTCTATTGTGCTTGTCAGTCCTCGTACTGTGAGTCGCGCTTCATGTTGCTTCTATGCTAACCACTGAATGAAATCCCTACTGTTTGCTTTGCTGCCTCTCTTTTCGTTATTCCCTTTGAACGTTACAATTCCGTTGAACCATGAAGTTTTTGCTCATTCAGCGATTTCGCGGCTTCGGTGAAAAATATGTACGCATAAATCTATGCCAGAAAAGCGTGGCCTGCTCTCATCATGGTCTTTCTTAGCTGTGCTCATTTCGCAATAACTCCAATTCGAAGTATAAATTGCTCTCCAAAAACTCTGAGGTGAGAAGGCTTTCTTGAAGAAGAAGGCCGCATGAAATTCATTCAGTGGTTTTCTTGTGCTTTCATGCTTTGCTCTAATGCGTACTTGTTACTGTTACTGTTACTGATTTCAATTTGGATACTTTAACATCTCCAAGCCTAAAACAGGCCCTAACAGAAAATACTGAGAAATAAGACAAAAAAAGGGAAGTACCTGGAACTGCTATAAATGATTTTCGGAAAGCGTAGATCAGTGTGTCTTTCGAAGCTGCCTTAGTTCAAAAACAAAATGCCTGTTTGGAATTCTGAGAGAGGTGCCTGTTTCTTTGCGAAGCTGCTGTTTAGTTCAAAATAAAACGCCTTGTTAAATTTCCAAAAAACAATAATGCTTGTTGAAAACTCTGCTGAGGAAAGGTACAGGGGGGGCCAAAAAAAAGTCATTCCGGCCGAGTCACATATGAGCGAAGTTTTCGCAGCCCAGACAGAGGAAGTGGATATGAGTACCAGGGCGGAAGATACCCAAGATCTTCCTCTATAAGCAGGAGCCGGCTGCCGCCATTCACCTTCATGTACACCAAAATATGAAGTCATCTCCAGTCGCGGCCTGAGTGGAGAACGCCTTTGGAATTCACGTGGCCTCCAAACAGCTGCGGAACTTCTTGAATGGAATCACCCATGGATAGCTACCTGGAGACAGTACTCTTGATCTGCACCAGGCCTCAAACAGTCGAGCAGGCTCGGGCAACGTCGGCTACGTTCCAGACTCATCTTCACCGCCCATTCACCAAGGCGCGGGTTGATGGTGTGGACCGGCCGTACCTGGAATGGGAAGACCGATATTTTCCTTGTAGACCCCGACTGAAGGTGAGCGCTGGCGGCTTACATCCTGCCTACAGTCGTGCGTCGCCCGTCCTTCTGGAAAACTTTGTACTGCTACAGGTATTGGGGTTGCAAGCACATCGGGAATCGAAGGGTTTGGAAAAACTCCCGCCTACTTCGAATGGAAGGGCGTTTCGTACCTGATGAAGATGTAATATTGAAATATGTCCCCTGACCTGAACCCACTCAATTACCTAGTTCGGGCGGAGCTCAACAGGGTGGTCTACAGTGGCGGAGAAATCAACGATCTCGCTCACTCCGGTACCACTCACTTTCGCGCGGCTGAAT